CCCCGCTCTTCTCAGAGAAGATCTGTCCTCCGCAAGACTCTTTTGTAAACTCTTGTGAGTCGATCATAAAAAGAGAGGCTAAGACAATCTGCGAAATAAATAACTGGATGGAGCTGGGGGAGCAAAGGCTGGAGAGGGAGAGAGATGGAGAGAGAGAGAGGAGAGAGAGAGAGACGGAGAGATCTGGGTGGGGAGAGCACCCAAGTGAAGAGTCATCAGTGTGGGGCGTGAGAACAGTGTAGGAAAGAAAAGAGGGGGGATGAAGGGGAGGATGGGAGTAAGGTTTGTTCTCCTTGTGTGCACTTTGAGAGATGAGAGTAAAGAACAAAGTTCTTTTTCTGTTGGTTTTTGTCTACGGAACAGTTCTTGAAGGCGATCCTTCCCAGAGCCGGGACCACATGGATCACAGGCTTGTCACTAGGTTTGAGGTCAGAGAGTTTGACCTCAGAGCCAAACCCTGCCTGGTTACAAGCATGCATTTCTCTTTGTCTTGCAGGGATATTTGTATTTATCAAATTCTTCCCTCATTTACATAGTCTCATGTTTTTATAGCTTATGTTGTATTGTTGGTTATTTCAAGTTGCTTTAAAAAGTAGTATGTCAATAAAAAACAAAATCTGTATTCTACTTAGTAAACTGAACACACGAAACTCTTAGAAATGGGTACATACCCTAATTCCACCATGACTACCACAGCTATTTTTTCAGAACACAACATGAAGAAGTTAGTTCACAGTTGGCCCATCCTGACCCTTTAAACAGACACAGCACATCTGTATCAATGCATGTGGGAATTTGTAAATCCCCCACAAGGGATGACAGAAAGCATATAATAGAACACATGTGAAAATGATATTTTAGCCAAAATGCATTTCTTCCTGTTCACCAAAGGACTCATAAGAAAGAAATTCTCTAAATATGACAAACATGAAAAAGGCAGTTTTCAGAGCTCAAACTTGCATAAGTTGAAATAAAATCCACCCAGGAAAGAACCCATACATGCTACAAACATAGTTGAAGTTTCTCTTGGCGTTCCCATGGTGATAGTCAGGCACAAAGCCATCTAGGTGCTGTGGGTGGGGGAGATTTTAAGCACAAACCTCCTGTGCCCCAGAAAACCAGCCAGAATAAGAATCATGTGACACAGGACAGTAACCTCTGGGGCTAGGATGCCTTTGGGGCTGGGATAAATGATTAAAGCAAGCCAGTTTCAGGTAGCTTAAACCGGGGGTTACTCTGTAGAAATGTAGAGCCAAGATTGCTTGATCTCTCAGTTTCAAAAAAAGCAGGATTTCCAGACCTTTATGTGAATTCTTCCTATTAAGGAATGTTAGTAACTAATTAAAATATTTGTAAACACTACTCCAGCAAATGCACCCAAAGTCTCTCATTTGCACCTCTGAGCTCAGAGAAATGCTTTGGAGGATGCTTGTTGCTCCATTGACATCCACGAGACCACACTAGCCCGAAAACCTTTAATGATGTGAAGAGAAGCCTCTGGGAAAGCTTCCCACTCACCTGAGAATCCACACAGTAGAAAATCCCCATTTCTTCCTCTTCCATGGCTCTCTGCTTTAGCTTGGCAACCCCCTGCCAGCCCTGCCTGCCCCCACCTCCATCCAGTCACCTGCCATTTTGACACACTCAGCCCCCCTGGAGTGTTCCACTGCGTGTCCTCAGGCCCCCACCCCATGGTCTAAGATCGTCCCGTTTCCCTCTGGCCCCCTGGAAGCCCCCAGCCTCTCTGCTGCCTGCTGGCCTCCCACCAGGGGAGCCCACTGGACGAAAGGCAGGGAGAACTGGCTCTCTCAGAATAGAGCCACCTTTCATTTTAATAATAAGCCAGTGTTGGTTCCAGCCACAAACATCATGCTGGCTTTCTGTCGCTCCCCCTTGGCCGACTGTGGGTGTCCAAATGGAGCGTGACACAGCTCCCATGCACCAGGGAGCTCCTCGTCATCTCTACAGGGGAGGACGGGTGCTCTAACAGAGCTGCTTCCATTGTCTCAACCAATGTAGGATTCATGGGGATTCATGAACGGATCTGCTGCCAATATTTCTGTGTTTTCTCTTTGGGTGGTTACTCCCCAACCTAACCTTCAGGACTCCCCATCTCTATAACCATAAAGACCAAACTCATTGGAGTAGCTTCAAGGTCCTTCAGAAGCTGCTCAGCCTGTTATGCTAGTTTCACATTCTTCCTCCTGCCCTGACCTCTCCTGTCTGGCACACCCCACAGCCCATGCGCCTGCTCCAGCTACACTAACAAACCCCTAATTCCCAGTTATGTTTCTGCTAATGTTACTCTCTTTGCCTGAGTCCTGTCCCCCAATATCTTTATCCTGCCAGCCCCTATTCATCCTTCAAGACCTAGCTCAAATATCTGCTCCTCTATAGAGTCTTCTCCAACTCCCCTGACTACAGAGTTTTCTTCTCTTTCCTGTGAACTTGCACAAAATATGGCCCACACCTATTACCTTATACTTATTATAAGTATTAGTTACTTCTCTGTACCCCTTGCTTGACTGTCACCCCTTGAGAGTCTTCTCTTCGTATCTCAAGCTGCTCCTGGCACGTGGAGATAACCAAAATGTGTTGAATGAGACAGAAAGAAATCTGACAGTAATATACTCACATTAAAAATAACAATCAAGTGCTAGGTGCCTTATAACATTAGTTTTAATCTTCACACCAACCTTGTGAGTTAGAGTTTATAATCATTGAGCACAGAGAGGCTGAATAACTTGCCCAAGGACACACAGCTAGTAGTTGATGAGCAGAAATGTGAGCAGAGAGCCCGAGGAATGTCGTCTTCTCAGGGATCTGGCTTAGGGTTGCCACATAAAAGCGTCCTTTCTGCAAGGGAAGCAACACAGTGTTCCCCTGGCTGGACTCTCACTCAGAGACTTCTCCAGCTCACACGGCCTTATGTTTGGGGCCAAAGAAGGGAAGAGACGCAAATGAAAATGGGCAAAGCTGGTTTCACTAAAAGTTGTGGGATTTAAGAAGTCCAGACAGCACTGTACAGGACCCATTTAACAAGGTGTAATATTTGAAGAGGAGAGAGGGCCTCCTCCCCACCTGCTGAGGAACCAACACCTGCGTGCCGAGGGCTCCCGAGCCCAGCCCAGCCCTGGCTCTGTGAGGCCCCAGCCCGTCGGCAGCGCCAGGCCACGGCTTCTCAGGGCCAGCGGAGGTAAGGACGCTAATGCCCAGGGCTCCAGAAGGACTTGGCTTCCCAGGGAAAGTGGCTGCAGGAAGCAGCACCAACAGTGGGAGGCGGCGGTGACCCACTCAGAGAATTAGAAGGCAGGCCTTTTTTTAAATTTCAGGATATCGAGGGGGCAGGCCTTTGGCAAGGGCAGTGGCATTCAGAGGGCCCTGGCAGCAGCGACAGCACAGGCGAGAGGAGCAGGAGGAAAATGGCTGGCACCGTCTTAAGTTGATGAAGGGACATCAGCGAAAACCCCTGGAGAGTCTCCCAGACATAACCGGGAACCATTCTGAGATGAAAATACCGCAATAGCAGGCAGTGCAAGAACCAGAGAGATGCTGAGTATATCACTGTTAACGGGGTCCCATTTTTACCTCCTTTTGGCCTGGGAAAACAGGTGGAGGTGCATTTTTATGGATTGTATTCCATATTGCTTTTATTTCATTCATTCATTTATTTACTCAACAAATATTTATTATACCCCTGACGTGGTTTTACAATCTATACAACCATCTGTAGCATATGCACATACAAAGGACACTACAACTTCCCCAACCTAGGATATAATAACTTTCATTTCGATAGTTATTTACTTGGGAGTTGTGACATAATACCTCGAAAGTGCAAGGACCAGTCCATAACTGTTGTTCTAATTTCAGAAATATATATTTATTTGGATAAATATGTTTACAAAGTAGCAAAAAATTAAGCTGCAAACCATGACCCATTGAACAAATCACCTTTACTGCAATGTCAAAACCACCCAAGGGGACTGTCACTGAACAGCAGCAATGTGTGGGTGCCACCACCTTTTCTCCTGGCTTTGATTCCTCCCCAGCCAGGCAGGCCACAGCCTGAGGACTCTGCACCATCCTTTTCCTGCATTGCCACTGAGAGTAACAAGGGACAGCTTGCAGTTTCCCTGGGCTTCGTGCATGAAAAGCGGACCGTGTTAAGCTTGGGTGAATGCCTGCTGAGTAATAAAAGGAGAAACTGCCTATTTTTTCTCCTGAATCATCCAGATAAACTGTATTTGTGCATTATTCACAAAAGCCAAGGTATGGACACAATCTAAGCATCCCGGGAAGGATGAATGGATAAAGAAAATGTGAAAAAATAAATATACACACAATAGAATATTATTCAGCCTTTAAAAAAGAAGGAAATCCTGCCATTTGCAACAACATGGGTGAACCTGGAGGACATTGTGCTACGTGAAATAGGCCAGGCACAGAAAGGCAATACTGCGTGATCTCACTTATATGTGGAATCTAACAAGGGCTGAACTCACAGAAACAGAGAGCAGAATGGTGGTTGCCAAAGGCTGGGGGATGGGGAAATGGGGAGATACTGGTCAAAGGGCACAAACTTTCAGTTCTATCAATAAGATGAATGAGTTCTGGTGATCTGATGGGCAGCATGGTGACTGTAGTTTATAATAATGTACTGTTTTCTTGAAATTTGCTAGGTATTCTCACCACACACACAAAAAGTAACTTTGTGAGTTGGTGGATATATTTATTAGCTTAATTGTGGTAATAAGCTAATAATATAATTTCACAGTGTATATGTATATCAAAACATCACATTGTACACCTTGAATACATACAATTTTTGCTTGTCAATTATACCTCGATAAAGCTGGGCATGGGGGAACCAAACTGCATTCGTCCCCTTATCAACATGGCTCTGAGCATCGTGATGCTGGAATAAATGCTCCAGCTCAGCCCCGGGAAGCTCCCACCAGCCCCAGCCTAACTCTGTCCGTGTTTTTGTTCTAAACCAGCAGGGCCCTCCCACCGCAGGACTCTCCTGCAGCCCACCCACGATAGTCCTGACGGGGGATGCCAGCTCACCAGAAGGAGAAACCGACAAAAACCTGGCCAACAGGTACACATGCCAGGTGCCGGATCCTTGTGCTGTGATGAATAGTATTTCCTAGAATGTGGGGATCAGACAGCTATATTTTTTATAAATCTTTTCTTCTTTTTTTGTATCATTTTATGGGTTAAAATCCAATCAAGCAGTTTTTCAAAATGGGAGAGTTTGGGATTTTTCCATTATCTTCCTCCCAAAATGATACTTCCTCTCCTGGATTTGGCCCTTTGCACTCTGCCAGCCTTTAAGAAAAGCACAAAGCACAGCAGGGGAGTTTCCCGTAATAACTGCCCAGATGTTTGCAGATGAACCTGAAAGGTGACTGTAGAGTCCTGGCCCTGGCCAAAGTGGGTCCTGTGCAGGCTGTGACCTCTTGCAGGGGACACAGGCTCACGTACATGGGGATGTCTGTGTCTTGGTTTTACGCAACACTAGCCATGCATCGGTCTAGCTGGAATGAGATTGTCTAGGTATAATATTCAAAAAGGTAACAAGATAATTCTCACACAGATATATAGTGATCATATGTCAAAGATCTACTTATTAATAAGGGAAGCAGCAGGACAACCAAGCTGGTTCAAAGGAGAACACAGAAATGGATACACATGTATAGTCAGAGGGGAGGGAAAGAATGCTGGAATAAAATTGCTAAATTAGATATAAAATAGGCTAATGTTCTACAGGACAATGAAACCGTGTTATTATCTTTTCTCCCAAATGCAAATCATCTGCATCTCCACCAGACAACAGTTATTTACATTTTTTGAGATTTCTGCAAGTTAGGTATTAGCTCAGAGTCTGGGCCCTAATAAATAGTAAGTAGTGAGTGTAAGTTGCAACCCTGAGAGCAGGTACTTTAGCGTGCATGAGAAGCACCTGGGGAGCTCATTAAATCGCAGCTTGCTGGACCCACCCCTAGAGTTTCTGAGCTGCTAGGTCTGAGGTAGGGCCGGAGAACCGGCCTTTCTAATAAGTTCCCAAGCTGAGAGGCAGAGGAGCCCTAGAGAAGCTTGTGGGGTGATGTTCTAGGATGACTTTGAAAGAACATGCAGGCACTTTTTTGCCTATTTTCAAGCTGTGGATTAATTTTCTTAACAAGATGACTCTGTTCTGTCTTTTAGAGTTCACGGTCCCCACAAGAGGCTTTCTCACCGACACTTGAAGGTTTCCACTGCTTCCCTGACGTCTGTGGGTAAGGGCCTGGCCAATCTGAAGGCATATTGAGTAGTAAGGCTGAAGCTTGTCAGCGTGGTCCGGCTCAGCCCCTTCCTCTCCCCTGTCTCCAAGGCAGCCCATCCATATAAGCCCAACAGTGTAGACAGCCCCTCTGTGCCTGCGTCCAGAGGTCTAATTTCAATTTCTTTTGGTAAAAAGACAAGAGCAGGGCATGAAAATGAAGGTGAGGAAGTCAAAGAAAGACAGAACAGCTGGGTGAGGCTCAATTCTGGGGCTGAGTCCTCCAGCCCTTGCTAGAAAGGCCCACAGCTGGGCAGGCGTGTACTTGGGTGGACAGCTGGCTGCCCTGGTCACCTTCTCGTTCCCCAGATGGCTTCTCGTGGCCTGTTGGAACATAGAATACAGAGTTGGTCCCTGCCTTCATGTTGTTCATAGTCTATGAGGAGACTGAGAAGTGAGCAGATATAATCAGGACACTATATTATAAGGGCCTCCTCAGAAGAGCTGGGGAAACCAAGGTAAGAAGGGGACCAGGTCTTTCTGGGGAGGGGGAAGGTTTGGGTAGGTATTCCACAGGACACAGTATTTGAGTAGTGCCTTAGAAAGCTGGGCAGATAGACAAGAGGGAGGAAAGGCAACTGCAATGCTCCACCCTGTGTATTAGTTGGGACCCTTCGAAAGGACAGAAACTCAACTCAAGCGACCTTACACCAAAAAAAAAAAAAAAATAATAAAAGCCAGGGCTTGGGATCTCAGGTACTGCTGGATCCAGTTCTTGAACTGGGTTATTAGATTGCCCCATTCCATCTCGCAAGTCTTCTTTCTTGTGTGTGAGCCTTCTTCTTGGGCAGGCTCTTCACGCATGCTAGCAAGTGGCTCCGAGCAGCTCCAGGCTTACATCCCATCAGTGGAGAGAGGCTTCCTCCTGCCCATGCACCTACACAGTTCCCAGGGTTGCCGCCATCCCTGAGCCCATTCCTGTGGCCAAGGGGATCGAATTCATTGACAGGCCAAGGCTGGTACATGTTCCCACTCTTGGCACTTGGGGTGGGCGGGGGATGGGCTTGGCCAGCTCCTGCCTAACTAACGTACTGGGGAACTAGAGGGGTTTACCCAGTGAAAAGTGAGGAGCCGCTGCCAGAAGAAGGGGTCATGGAGGCTGGGGGCGAGACAGACGCCATTGCCTACAGACAGACTGGAGTGGAGGGCCTTTGGCAGGAGAATGTGGGGCCGGCAAAATTGTCTGAGACCGGTTTGGACTCCACACTGAGGAGCAGGAATCCCCATGACATGAGCAGAGAATGGCACGGCCAGACGTGGCTCTCAGGAAGGTCACTCCACCAGGCAGTGGAGAGCGGGCTGGAGGGGCTCGCCTGAGGGCTGGGACCTGCCAGAGGCTGATGTGATTGTTCAGGTAAGAGCGAATGAGCAGGAACAGAGATGAGGGGCGGTTTGCAGAGATACTTAAGATAAATGCAAGGACTTAGAGGTGACTCCCGTGCCCCTGAGTAGCTGGGTGAGAGGAGGTGTCATTCACCCACCCCTTGCAGAGGGGCTGCTGGAGAAGGGGCAATTCTGGAGAAGAATGGGGGTAAACCATGTGAGGGGAGGGTTTGTGTCCATGGCCCGTGATCTTTGGACTCCTGCATTTGTCCGCAGACCTTGGGCCCATTGGCTTGTTAAAGAAACAGAGACCTGAAGCAAGAACAGGCTAGGGGGAGCAGAGGGCGTGGAGGGGGGCCCTGATGGCCTTCCATTCACGGCAGAGCTCAGGGCAGTGCTGGGAACCAAAATGGCTTCATCACTGTTTGTGACAAAGGACCTGCCACAGCCACAGGCTATAAGCCGGAGGGGCCAGGCCTGCTGAGGAGGACATGTCTGTCCCCATGCGCCCTCTCTGTGGCATCAGGCTGAGGTGTGGCTGGCGGGGTCAGCGTCCCTGGACTGAGTGTGGCATGGCAGGGCCTCTCAGCCTCGTGCCGAGCACGCAGTGGCTCACGCCCAGCTCACCCTCCTTCTGTAGACCCTACGGGGCACATCATTGACCTGGTAAATGACCAGCTGCCGGACATCAGCATCTCAGAGGAGGACAAGAAGAAAAACCTGGCGCTGCTGGAAGAAGCCAAGTCGGTGAGTGAGCGATTCCTGACCCGCCGTGGAAGGAAGTCCAGGAGCAGCCCTGGAGACTCCCCGACAGGTAGGGCAGGGCCAGGCCGGCAGGTGGCTGCCCAGGCCCCTCCAAGGAGGGCTTGGAGGGCTGGGGAGGGAAGGAGCAGGCGCCAGCTGCAGCAGGAGCCTGGCCTCCGACGGGGTGGCCTTTACCTCACCTGCCCCCAGGCCCCATGAGAGCTCAGCGCGGTGGAGAGGGTCCTGCAAGTATAGGGCACCTTGCTCAGTTTCAGAGGCTCCAAAATGCCTTCCCAACTCTAGCCCAGAAAACTCCTGCTTTTCACTTTTTGGCCCCGTGTGTGACCCTTGTGACTTCCTGTTTTGCCAAGAAATGTGAGCCCATATGGTGGCATGAACTTAACTTGGACCTCTCCCCTACCCCCAGCTTTCGCCTCCCTTTTCCCCCCTCCCTGCCCCCCACTGCGTGGGGAGAATGGCTCTGAGTGAGGCCCATAAGCACAGACGCCCGGGCCACCCACCTTCCCCAGGAGACCCCGCTCCATTGGCCAGAGCCCCCTCGGATTTCTGGAGAGGCCGCCCTGGGCTCGCTCCCTCTGAGCTCCAACCGCAGGCCCCAGGAAGGAGTCTAGGCACTCTGGGGAAGGGGAGGTGGCCTTTGGGGGAATTTTGGGTTAGAGGAAAGATTGTCCTAGGCCCTGAAATCCTCCTGCTACTTCTGTGTTAGAATCATTCTTCTGAGCAAAAGGTTGGGCCAAGTTTTTTAGATAAGTGCAAATGTACTTAGGGGGACAAGAGGAACATTTGAAATCAGGGAGTCTAGAAGGTACAGCCTTTGGAGCTATGCCTGCCAAGCAATGCAGGTTCTCAGTTTCTGGAAGGTGCTTTGAGGTCAGGCCAGGTAGGCTTCGGAGTATGACCCTACCCCTCACCCTCCATCCCCCAAATGACCTGAGGGCTGGGCTGTAGTGGGAGCCTTCTATGCCCCTGACCCCAAAAAGGCAGACCCAGTTCCCAGGGCTCAGAAATACCTAGAAGGATGTCTTTGTTGGGCTAAAGTCCTAGACATTCACGAACTCTGGCCAATTTGTGTCTGTCTCCACAGCTGTTTCCCCCAACCTCAGCCCCGGAGCTTCTCCCGCATCCTCTCGGAGCAACTCTCTTACTGTCCCCACCCCAGCAGGTGAGGCGCAGCCACCAGGGAGTTTCCCACCCTGCCTCTCCCTGGGGGTGGTGGCCCAGCCTGAGCTGACCAGGGTGCTCCCCAGCCTGCCGATTCCCCTTCCCCAGGGGCGCCAGGCTGGGCCAGCCCCGAGGAGGCCAGTCTAGCCCAGGATGAGGCCAGAGGGAGAGGAAGGGACTGTGACGGGCTCTCTCTGCTCAGGGAGGACTCCGGTCATCACAGAGCTTATTTGGAAAGGCCTCTTTGCTTTTTGATTTCTTCCCTTGCATTAGGCTGTGTCCAGGGCCACACCCTTGAGCCAGAAAGGGGGGAGGGGCAGGGGGCCAGGGAGAGCAGCTGCCCTCTTCAGTGCCATGGGGCATGCTCAGGCCAGGTTCCTGTGCCTCAGTTTCCTCATATGGTTCCTGTGAGGGTGCAATGAGGGCCCAGCACAGAAGCTGGCATGTGGGAGATAGCCAACAAATGGTGACACTGCTGGCTCTGGGCCTGAGATTGCTCGGGGGGACATTCGGGGGAGGTGGATGCAGATAAAGGCACAGCTGAGGGTGTGGGGTGCTAGACATCGCTTACCAGTGTCTGGACCATTCCAGGTTTGGGTGTGTGCAGTGGCCCACAGTCCCCTCTGCCCGGAGCTCCAGCACAGGTAACGGGGCCCCCCTTGCTGCACTGTTTCTGTGACAGTGGGTCTCTCCTCTGACCCCCAACATCCAGGGCCCTCCTGACCCACTGGAGATGAGGGTGCCGGGGGTGGAGGCGTTTACACCACTGCTCGGGCCTCCCTGAGGGTATGTCAGGAGGAAATATGGTTCTCCCCATTGCTGACTGACCTGTGTTTACTTTCTCCAACAGAGGGGGGATGAGGCCAAAGTCTCTTCACCTCAGCTTGGCGAGCCTGTGAGTTTGAGCTTTGCCCAATGTAGATGACTCCGGTGTGGGAGACACAGTCTCCCAGAAGTCCAGGGTGGCCCCTGGGCAGCCTGCAAGTGTGTGCGTGCATGCGTGTGTGTGTGTGTGTGTGTGTGTGTGTGTGTGTGTGTGTGTGTGTACATACGTGAGTGGAGGGTCGGGCTGGGTAAACCAGCAGACTGCTCTGCCCCATCGTGACTGGAGGTCTGAGGTGGAGTGGTGGGGAGGCAGGATGCAGTGGGGGCGACCTCCTAGGGTAATGCTCACAGCCCTGCCCCAGTCTCTGCTGGGCAGAGATAAGGTGGACCTCCAGGCCCAGCAGCCCCTGCCAGCACCAGTGAAAACTGCAGGAAAGCACCAGCCCCTGGTTGGGATTCTGCCTTGGGCAGCCAGGAAAGCCTCAAACTTGTTGATGAGCAATAGAAGTGCTGGCCCCTGCTCAGAGCCAGGTGCCCATGTGCCTGAGGTGTGTTGGGGGTCACATTAGAATTCAGTCTCATCTAGAGCTGCGCCCACGATAGAGTTCTCTGGAAGAATTTCAGCTCACACACAAGACAGCCACGTGCATCCACAGACCCACACGCTGTCACAAAGCAGGTTTCCCGTGGGGAAGGAAAGAAGAATGCAGAAACTTTGAACATCTGAGAGTAAGATATTTGCGAGAACTGCCTCCTCCAGTGATCCTTAATGCCTTTTGGATTGTGGAACTCTCTAAGAAGTTGAGAGTTGTGGATTTTCTTCCAAGAAAGACACCCCTTCACACAGACTAACATACACATCTGCATATAATTTCAGAGGGTTCACAAACCTGGGTCCCTAAGAGTTAAGGGCCCTGCCAGGCAGAGCCAAGACTAGAATCTGGGGCAATGGAGCTGAGGCCAAAGCAGCCTTCTATTCTACTCTCCTCTTCAGCTCCCAGCCCTGGGGACGTACTTGGCTGGTTTTGAGTTGCAGGTCCCATTGTCCTGTTTCACAAACCCCCGGCTTATTTGAGGGTCCCCTTTGCTTGAGACCTGCCTAAGAAGCCCTCCTCTTTCACGAAGTCCACGTGTACCTCCATACACACACGTACAAATGGGCCCCTCGGCAGAAGTAGCCCCACCTGTCTTCTCCCCCGCCTGCCTCCAGGGTCCCAGCTTTATCTTGTCTTTTTTAGAATGTCCCCAAAGGGCTAGCTGACCGGAAGCAGAATGACCAGAGGAAAGTGTCTCAGGGAAGGCTGGCTCCTCGTTCTCCTACGGTTGAGAAGTCCAAAGAAATTGCAATAGAACAAAAGGAAAACTTTGATCCTCTCCAGCACCCCGAGGCTGCACCCACGGGCCCACCTCCTAGCACAGGCAGCAGTGGGAGAATGGCCCTGAATAGCCCCCAGCCGGGCCCCATTGAGGGCGAGCTAGGGAAGCAGCTCCCAAAGACTGCCAAGGAGGGCAGCCCTCTGCCGAGAAGTCCGGCCCAGGGTCTGGGAGGGGCGGCTCCCCCAGACCCTCAGGGAAGAGGCCCAGCTGAAGAGCCTACAGGGTCCAAGGTTGGCTCCAAAGCTGAGCTGCGGCCCCCTGCACCCCGCAGCCCCCTACTGCGGGGGGTCTCCTGGGACAGTGGCCCTGAAGAGCCTGGCTCCCGGCTGCAGAAAGTGTTTGCCAAGCTGCCGCTGGCAGAGGAGGAGAAGCGTTTTGCAGGCAAAGCCAGTGGCAAGCTGGCCAAGGCGCCCGGACTCAAAGACTTTCAGATACAAGTGCAGCCCGTGCGGATGCAGAAGCTGACCAAGCTCCGAGAGGTGAGTGGGGGTGGGGGAGCAGGACCCCTGGGCCAGAGACCTCTGGGCTGAGCCTGGGCCCCAGGGCAGGCAGCTCTGGCCTGGATTTGGGCCTTACAGGACCCTAAACTTCCCCACCCTGAGAAGTCAGGCCCTTACGTGGCATTACCTTTGTAAAAACCAGTTTTAGGTGCTTCTTACCTGAGTTACCAGGTAGAGGTCAACCTGGCATATAGTTGCCACACAAAGCCACATTTCAGGGGAGGGCGGCTGTGTGGAGGGGCACGGGGGCTCCTCATTCCTGGGCCGTTTTCCTCCGCTAGCCGGAGTCGGTGACTCATAAACAGGAACCCCTTCCCGGAGTGCCTGCTCCTGCCCAGGACGGGCTCGCAGGGGCGAGATAGCCCTTTCCTTTGTGATGCCCCCAAGCTTTCTTCCTGATGCCTGTTAACGCAGGGCTTTGACTCCATCTACAATTACAACGATGAGGGCTGCTTCCCCGCAGAGAATTTCTTCCACTGGCCCTGGTGTCCTCACTTCCACTGGCCATCAGACTGGGCACGATGGGCTCTCACGGGCTGCCACCCTAGGCAGGGTGTGAGTGGGGGTGTCCAGAGATGTAGGGGAGAGAGGAGTTAACAAGACAAAGAAGTTCTGACTGGCCCTCTTTTCCCTAGAAGGCTTACGGGGACTATAAGCCAAGGCAACGGGGATTCCTCAGGGTGGGGTCTGGCGCCCCTGCAGAGGGGAGTGTGGGGCAGGAAAGAAAAAGGAGGCACCCAATAGCACTTGAGCACAAGTGAGGGGATTTCTGTGCTAGCAGGAACACGTCTCGAAGCTGGCCACTGTCCTATTCAAAACCTTTGCAATGCTGTAAATTGGAGGTTCCGGGGAGCTGGGACCTGGCTGCTGTGAACATTCTACATGGGAAACCCGATCTAGCCAGGACGACCTAGCACAGGGCCTGGAGGGGCTGCCCATGGGGGGCCAGTGGTCCCAGATCCCTGAGGGAAGGCGGAGCCAAAGGGGCCAGACAGTCAGGGATTTGTCTTTGCACAGGCCATAAGCTGCCCCCACCATCCCCCCACTCCCTACAACCCTGCAGGTAAGTTGTAGAGACCCTGGTGGCCCATGCGACTAGCCACTACCCTTGTAGCTGAGCACCCCGCCCCCACACCCCAGTCCTACGTGCTGAGAGCTGAGGGGCTGTGGGCCTCAGCTTGCTAAGCAGGCATGTCAAGGGGCCTTGGCCATGACTTCCACTTGGATCATCAGCACCCTCTGCTGGCCCCTCCCTTTCCCTCTTTATTGGGGGCAAACCTCTCAAGTGGCCTCTGCCACACCAGAGACTGAAAAATCCATTGGTGGCACAAGTCATAAGGGGCTAGGAGCTCTACCCCGTGTTTCCACCTGGGGGCCCTGGCCTGGTGCTGATTGGCTTAGAGCAGGTGTGAGTCCACATGGGCCGCATGCTGTGGTCAGCATCCCTTCTCTCTGGGGGCTCTACCTGCTGAGACCCCAAGGCGGCAGTTCTCAGGCCTCATTTGGTGGAGAGTGCAAATGCTCAAGAGGTGCCATAAAAGGCCACTGAGGAACCAAAGGGGTGGGGAAGCCACACTCCTGGGAGTGGGTACTCACTGCCCAGAACTTCGAGGCAGGAAGCTCCAGCCAGCCCTGAGATCACCAAAGGCTGTTTCCAGGAGCAGCCACACACACACACAGGGACCCTCCTGTCCCCAGAGCCCATGGACTTATTTGAAACAGACCACGCCAAGAGTAGTTCTTGACCCAGGACTGCAGCACTAACTGCAGTTTCAGACACCTGTGTGGGCTGGGGGAGGAGCTGCCTGGATCTCACCCTGCCGTGCCCATCCACCCACCGCTAAGGCTGCCCGGCGTTCCCACCTAAGGCTGAGTGGTCACAGAACCACAGAGAGAACCGAGAGAAGAGGCCAGCCTGGTGTCATCACCTGAGACATTGTCTTTCTCTTTTCCGCAAAGGAGCACATCCTGATGAGAAATCAGAACTTAGTGGGGCTCAAGCTTCCAGAGCTCAGTGAAGCAGCAGAGCAGGAGAAAGGTAGGTGGGGTTGGGCAGATGCTCCCTCAGGCCTGGGCTGGATGTGTCCAGCCAGGTCAAGGGAGGTAGGCGTGTAAACACGAGGCTTCCCATCAGTGGCATTTGTCCATCCCAGTGGCGAGTGTGGGCTGGACACAGAGTGGGCCCTCAGTAAATATTTGCAGATGTGCGAATGAATCAGATAGTGATTGCTGCCCACTCAGCGCACCTCCAAACCCCTCTCCTCCCAGCCAGGCCCCAGGTGGACCCTGCCAGCCTTCCCTGGGCCTTGTTGGTTTCTAGAGGGTCACAAGGGTGCCCCAGGCCTGAACTTTTGACACTTCCTTTTCCCCTTCCACCCAGGAAGCCGCCCAAATAGATCAATTCCTCTTTTCAAAGCATCAGAGCCATCTCTTGCTTTCTAATTTGCTGTCACCACAAAGTCCATACCCCGGCCCTGCCCTACTGGATGGCCGCACGTCCCTTCCTCTGAACCCGTGGCTCCCTACCACCCCACCCTCCACCCTGCCAGACTCATCTCCTGCACACAAGGCTTGGGTCTCCCCTGCCCCTGCCTCACCCTCTACGCTCGCCCCTGCTGATGTTCCATACAGTCCCCACCATCCTAGATCTGGATCCCAGCACCCTTGCTCTGCCCCGTTCCTCAACATGCGTGCGCTGGACCCCACTGTGAATTGGAACTGTGAGGCCTGTCACTGGCCAGCCATGTGACCTGTGCAAGCGACTTAACCTCTCTGGGCCTGATCCCCACACACTAAAATGGAAGTAAGAACAGTAGGTTACCATGGAGATTAAGTAATGAGTGTTCATGAAGTACCTAAAACAGTGCCTGATACGTGACAAGTGTTGTCTAGTTGTCAGCTATTGTTATCCCTAGAGTAGGGGCCCCCAAGGGCAGGAATCTGTGTGCGTGCGTGTGTGCGTGTGTGCGTGCGTGCGTGTGTGTGTGCGTGTGTGCGTGCGTGCGTCTCTACCACTAAGTGCTTACGACAGTGCTGGCACTACTGGGCCCTGACTAAGTGTTTATTGAATAAACAACGAATGAAAACAGGTAGGATGTAGCTGGGGAGTTGAGACAGGTATGCAAACGTAGTCTGTGACCATCACCGTGGTGCCAGGAGGTGGGCAAAGGAATGAGCTGAGCTCAGAGGGATGAGGGTTCCCACTGGGCTCTTCCTTCTTCCAGAGCCACCTCCCCATGGCCACTCACCCCCAGGCCGCTGTCCCCGCTGCGTGTCCCTTCTGCTGTGCTGTGGCCTCTGCTCTCTGAGTCACATCATATGTGTCCCTTAAAGCAGTGGGAGAGTCCCACCAACTCTGCAGTCCTCCTATTTTCCTTATTCTCTTTTGTATTTCACTATATCCCAGTCCTTTGGGGGGCATTTTTTTATTGTGGTAAATTTACCATTTTTAAGTATACAGTTCAGTGGCATTAAGTTCATTCTCGCTGTTGTGCAACTATCACCACTATCCATTTTCATAATTTTTTCATCATCCCAAACTGAAATACTGTACCTGTTAAACAATAACTCATTCCCTCCCTCCCCCAAGCCCTGGTAACCACCATTCTACTTTCTGTCTCTCTGTATTTGACCATTCTAGGTCCCTCATAGAAATGGACTCATGCAGGGTTTGTCCTTTTAGGTCTGTTTTTTTTTGTTTTTAAGAGGCAGGATCTCACTCTGCTGCCCAGGCTGGAGTATGGTGGTGCGGTCACAGCTTACTGCAACCTTGAACTCCTGGGCTGGGACTACAGGTGCACCACGACATCTAGATAGTTTTTTTACTTTTTGGAGAGACAGTGTCTCTCTGTGTTCCCCAGGCTGGCCACAAGCGATCCTCCCACCCCGACCTCCCAGAATGCTGAGATTACAGGTGTGAGCCACCGTGCCCTGCCCCTTCTCCTTTTATTCCCAATCATAATAAACTAATTTCCTATAGAGTTTTCCACAGTATAAATCATTTTCCACCTCTGATTTCAACTAATCCTCCCAATAAACTAAGAGAGGCAGGGATTCTTGCTCTCATCTTGCAGTTGAGGAACTGAGACCCAAAGATTTCTTAACTCCAAATCTGAAGGATTGGCCATCACACAAGCAGTTTTGAAACTTTTTGTTCCAGCTGCATGACATTTCAGACAAACTAATCCCTAGAAGGGCAGTGGGAGGGGACAGGCAAGTGAGGCTGCTCTTGTTGGAGGGGACAGGAGGGCTCAGATCTGCACCTTCTGGAACTCTCTCCCTTTCTACTGTGGCCCCAAGTCCTCAGTGGACCCTGGGCTTCAGAGAACACAATTTGAAAGTCCTTGTCCCACTTCAAGCTGCCTGGTGCTGGTCTCGGCATTAAAGCCCTCTGTTTATGGATTGTTGTGTGGATGTTTCTGGGGTGTCACCAATAATGTTGGAAGCCCTTGGTCTGAAATACGGTAACACCTACCTATTTATTGAACATTAACAAGGTTCCCAGAAATAATAACATTTTTCAAAGGACTAAATTTTTTTAAAAAATTAACCATCTTTAGAAGAATCTCTTAAAAATGTATTATATACTTCTCTACTTTTAATTTACTAAAGCAGATTTAAAATACTAGATAAACTTATCTTAAAATTTCACTCAAAACCCCATAAATTCTAAAAAAGTAACCATTTTTATTCTTTACAATATTTACTCATAATTATAATTTTTTCACAGTTGATTCGATGAATAGATATAACTTACTGTTTCTGTTTTTGCTTATTTTATAACTAATTCTATATATTTTGACTCATCCTCATTTATCATTTAATGGGTACATAATTTCTTTTGTATTGATGTATCTATTGTTGGGTATTTCAGATGTTTATAGTTCTTGGCCTATGATTAATAGCCCTATTGTACACAATTATGTACTGGTAGTTTTTATTTCTTCCTTTAAGTTACTCCCTTGGGATAAATTCCCAGACTTGAGATTCACAAGGTCAAAGTGTAGGAGCATTTGCATTTACCAAATTGTTTATAATGAAGAATGCTACTGGCAAAGACTGAGTGCATGTCTTTCTCTTAAGCATTATTGCACTGGACTTTGTTTTTACTCCTTGTTGGTCAGAATATAGTAAGAATAATCAGTAATAATAACAATAATTATAATGTGTTTTTGTTATTAGTGTGAAATGCCATTTCATTCCAATTAATTTGTTAAAGCTCAAGCTTAAAATTTTTAAATGTTTATTTACTTTTTAAAAACTCTGATGAATTAACCACTCATTTCTTTGCCTATGTATCCACTTAGTTCTTGGGTTTTTTTGTTGGTAATATATGTAAACTTTATACATTATAGATATTAACTCTTCATTGGCTGTATTTTCTCAGTGTTTTCATTTGATCATTTTTTGCTTTTTAAGAAGTTTTGAGTTATTTTAGAGGAATCATAAAGATTTTATATAATCTTGTTTGCCTATCTTTTTCTTTGAGAAGTCTTTCATTATTTCAATCATAAAAACAGTACTTCTCCCCAGTGTGGATAACAGATTGACTTTCTACTGGTTTATCTATCATTTGATTTATTTATATTTATTTTGCTAATACCTCTGAAATTTATTTTAAGATAAAGGTATTTTAATATTTAACATCCTCTTCAATAATATTTTAATAGTTTTTATATTTCTTTCAGGGCTTAGATAGTCACATGTTTTTCCTTGCATATATCAAAGACTAGTTCTGGGCTTCTTATACTGTTTTATTCTGATCAATACCATATCGGGATTTTTGGTTGTTTTTTTTTTGTTTTTTTTTTGAGACAGAGTCTCACTTTGTTGCCCTGGCTAGAGTGCTGTGGCATCAGCCTTGCTCACAGCAACCTCAAACTCCTGGGCTCAAGCGATCCTTCTGCCTCAGCCTCCTGAGTAGCTGGGACTACAGGCATGCGCCACCATGCCTGGCTAATTTTTTCTATATATATTAGTTGGCCAATTAATTTCTTTCTATTTATAGTAGAGACGGGGTCTCACTCTTGTTCAGGCTGATTTCGAACTCCTGACCTCGAGCAATGCATCCACCTCGGCCTCCCAGAGTGCTAGGATTACAGGCGTGAGCCACCGCGCCCTACCCCATGTAGTTTTAATTACTGCCTTGTGATGTGTTCTAGTGTGCAGTGGGGTTATCTCTCCTTCATTGCTGTTCTTCTTCAGAATATTTGTTGATATTCTAGATACAGAGATTTTGTGCAAAATAACAGAGCAACTAGACAGAAGTCAGGAGATACATTTGAGTTCATGTCCCAGTCCAGACACCAATTAACAGACACTTTAAATGTGTTCCTCAGCCTCTCTGGGCCACCACTCCCATTTGAAATTTTTATCATTTTGTATAACATTTGAATTGCGATTGCTCTAAAGCTACACACTGGATTCAGAAGAACTGTACAAGTTTTGTTTGCTTTAAACTTTGCAGACCTTTAAATTACTTAATTTGCAAACATTTGGTTCTCATTCAGGCATGTGGTTTGTCCCTCTATTACATCAGGTATTTCTTTCTTTCTCCCCAAAAATATGTAAGGTTCTTTGTACACATCTCCCACATCTCTTACCAGAGCGTACTCATTCTATGTGATTTATATTTTTGCTTGTTTATTTAAGAAGAATATTCTTTTTCATTAGATTTTATAACTGGTAATTAGTGGCATAGATGAATGCTGCTTGGTGCTATACCAGCATTTTTTGTATAATAAATATAATTAATAAATGATGGATGATTACTATAGTGATTAACTAGAGTGATTATTACATGCCAGATATCTTGCTAAGCACTTGACAATATTTCACTTAATGCTCACAACGACCTTGGGAGGTGGTCTTATTTTCATTTTGCAAATGAGGAAATTGAGACTCAGGGAGGTTCTAGTTGTGTGGTTATTAATTGCAGAAGCTGTAATTGGAACTCAGATGTGTCTAACTTTATAGGCTCACAACAACTTTGCAGAAAAACTTTTTAAAATTTACAATCAAGCCATGTCATGTTAATTT